ATATTTAAATACCCTCAAATTTATTAACATACTTCCATAAACATATATATACTCCCCACAAAAAGTATATTAATGTACTTTGCAAAAACGTATTTATACGTTTGACGAAAGGATACGTACCTTATCCAGTAAAACATGGACAAGATGAAATTACTAACATCTGGTAAAAGGCGATTTTGTAGATAAACTTCCAGTAAAACGTGGACAAGGTGAAATTACTAACATCTAGTAAAAGGCGCGTGGACAAGGTGAAATTACTAACATCTGGTAAAAGGCGATTTGGTATTTTACTGGAAGTTTATCCGGGATCGAGTAAAAGGTGGAATGACTATATTAATTTCCTGTGAAACACATTCGGATTTAAATTAACAGCTTCTATTAAAATGGCAGTTTGTGACAGAAGTATTCATGATCATTATTATTATTTTACACAGAAACTCTGCCTCTACGCCCCGGATTAATTTTGATAATTTCTTCTAAAACCACCAGGTTACATTTTTGTCTACTGTATAAAAACTGAAATTTAACGATGTACTGAAAGTTGTCAGTAAAACGTTGAGGGCATGTAGCTTATTTAGTTCTGCGATCCCTCATTTTTGGCTTTAGACACTTACATCTATTGCCATCAAAACATCTGTATTTTAGAGTAGCATGAGTTATAGTATTGTGACAAGAAATAAGCAGTGTTCTATAATCATGTTCACTAGACACGAGGAAAAAATGTAACTGGTATTTGGTATTTTTAACCTAAACGGTCAGTTCAAGGACCCACTGAAGTTCAATCATAACAAAACCTATTTTAGAACTGTTGACCAAAGGGAAGAAAACCAGCCACCAATATCTGTTACCTACGCGGCTATTTTTAATCGAATAATTAACATGATTGAATGTCACAGCCAATAACGACATGCTCAGAAGCATATCGTAGCTCAAAAAACAAAAAAGTGAAATTGAATCCATTTATTAAAGACTCTAATCCATAAATTCCTCGTTACACGTAATTAGCATTACATCACGAGATGAACGTTCACAAAAACAAACAACATATTTACGACTCAAGTAAAAGCATAAATCTTCTCTAATTTGTAAAGATAATATTAGCTGACAGGAAGCAGGACAGCAATTCAAAATGTGCACCTTTTCTAATTAACAAAATAATAAGGTTTCGGATAACTAGACAAGGTTGCTTTGAAAGTTGAAAAGATTATTTTTATGTATTTTCCAAATCAATTAAAACAACTCGTTTTGATCGTATGAACGCTGTAGTTGGGAGAGCATGAAATCTTTTAATTGCCATGTTTTGCTCTTACCCATGTGACCAGTAGAATAATGTGGCTTAACTAACAAGCCACTTGAAATGAGGCTTCAGTATAAACCCTGGTGCAGCCAATTAGCTTAACCTTGCTAGTAAATCTCCAGACTTACGAAGACCTGACTAATCTTGGAAAAGCACTACGAAATGGCCGAGAATCCAATTACCCTAACTGTTTCTTCCGTCCGCGCGTGGTTTTCTCTCGCATTCCAAATATGTTGACATTTGGGCGCAGCCTTAAGAGTTACAAAAGCTGACGTAAGCTGTTGTTAAATGGAACTTATTTTGATATTAAAGTTAGTTCTGTTATTGTTGGACCCGTATCTAAAATAACGCCGTTTCTTTGACAAATAGTTGCATAAATGGACTGCTTCAAATACTCTAATTGCTTTGTTCCTTTCCTTTTCTGCTTCATTTATCTAGAAACCTATCAAGCATAGATAAATAAAAAAAAGGTACGACTTAATTTCTTCTATATGTGCTTCACTTATATTTAGCTATTTCTTCTCGTGAAGATTCCGCTGTCGTATCACGTTTAGATGACGTCACTTCGCGTCTTTTTATTGTTGTTTCAGAATTATGTATGGCTTTTGAGTGGAATAATGAACTTAAAATAAGGCAAACATGCTAAAAAAAGAAAGACATTGTAGTTCGTTAGACGCTCATTTAGATTCAATGAGAGAATGTTTACTGAACATATTACAGAGCTATTTTCTTCTCACCAAATGTAAAATTGAAAATGGAATCTGTGACGTGGAGGCCAAATTCATTTCTTGATTCGCTGCGCCGTCTGCTGTGGACTGCAATTTTGCCTATTCAGAGATTATCAGCACAGTTTGGGTCAACAAATAAAAAAAAATACAGTTAGTCCCTTTATAACTGTGATACTTATATAATATTGATGGAGTTTTGATCCCTTCTTAACACACTATCTAGTTCACAGGTTTTGTTTCCAATTTTTACCTGTGGTACAAAGAAAATACATTTATACTATAATCATTAAACAGTTGGTCCCTATATAATTTCGAATATTAAATTAGTCGCAATGCCATAACATTATTCACACACACACCTAAAAAAAGGATTCAAAACCCAATTTATATTATAAGAGCAAATAACTATTTTTTATGTGTTATTTGAGTAGTGACATGCTCCATTTTTCTTTAAAGTTAGTTTTATTAATGTTACTAATTATAATGTTTAAAATAGCTTTGGATATCATTTCTTATTTGTTATCACCATTGTTAATTTTAATACCCATGAAGAGTATTTGCCATTGTAGTTTAGAACATGGGCGTGGGATTTAACCTAAATCTCCTAAGATGTTCAAACCTAGTGAGATATTATTGAGTTTACGACCGAAAATATCGTTAATAATGAGTGTATCCAAGTGATGAAACAATCCATATACATAAGAGCCAAATTTCTGTCTGTCTGTCGCGCTCTGTACCTCCTCAACGGTTAATAGAAGAAAACATGTATGTGTCAAAATGTTTGTTTTCGAGAGTACATTAAAGGAAAATTGTTCATTTGTTGTAGTTCCTAAAACTTCATATCGATATCACCATCGATCTTTCAGTATTCGTATGTGTTGAACAGTCAATCTGAGAAAAAAATATATATATTCATGTCGATATTATATATATACTCGTGATGCTATTATAACATGTCCAATAACTTGATTTGAATTTAATAGCTTCCCTCTGAAACTTTTTATAGAAATAACAAATGTCAAAAAGCGTCACTTCATAACGGTGTTTTCTTGCACTCGGTAAAATGACAAGGAACCGTGCCATTCAGCGGAAAAAATCCCCGCGGATAATTAGCAAACCTGAGCGAGCTATTGTTCTAAATGCACTCATTGCATCGAAACCAAAACATTTTTGCT